GTGGCGCCTTCCTTCCTCGGCCGTGGGACCGTGGGGTCCAGCCGCGTCGCCGACACGGCCCCACGCGAGGGTCCCGGCCGATCGCTACCTCCGGGCCTGGAGTCCCGAGACCCCCGCGCCTCGGATCGGGCGGGCCTGGGGGCGGGGCCAGGAGGCGGGGGGCGGGCCGGCGCGCTCCGAGGCCCCGCCCGCAGGAGGGGCGGCGCCTGCGCAGAGAGCGCGTCTGGACGCCCCGCTGCGGCGCTGGGGGCTGGAGGGGGAGCTGTCGCCCGGGCTGTCGCCGCGGCTGTTGCAGGGGCTGCGGCTGGGCCTGGGGCGGTTACGACTAATAAAAGCTTTTCCCGGGGATATTTTCTGGGTTGGCTGCTAGGATTTGAAGGATGAGCTCTGAAACCTGGGACTAGGATTGTAACCTTCTGAACCTTAGTTTCTTAATTCCAAAAGTTGACACGGTGATTGCTGCCTTCTTGATTTACAAGCTTATTAGGAAGATCAAGTCAGATCCTGTTTGCCACAGTGCTTTAAAAAAGGCGATGGTGACAGAAGTATAAATAGCCAATATAAACATAGAGAAACGTTCAAGTTCAGTGATAATTGATAATTTTACAATTCTTTTTACAATTACAGTTTTATAAATTAAAATGACTGGCTATCATTTTTCACTTATTAGATTAGTGTCGGGGGGGAAGAGGGAGAATCTCCCTCTGCCCTTTTCCTTAGGGTTCTTCTGGCTGGCCAAATAATCAACAAGACAGGTTAGCAGGAGAAAATAATACCAAGTTTAATAACATGTATACATGGGAGAAACTCAGAAATGAGCAACTCGTCCCTCTGTCTAAGCTGCTTGCTTAAGTATTGCAGCTAAAGGCGAGGAACGTGTTGGGGGTGGGTAGTGGCCTGGGACTTCAGAGGGCAGGAGGATAATTCTTTTCAGGGTCATCTTAGATAATGTGGTCAGGGAGAGACAGAGTTTTTGATAAAAGGGGCTTGGTGCCTTTGCTATTGTAACCTCTGTCCTACATTATCTTTATAGCCATCATGATAGAAGATCTGTTCCAGGAAGGAGCCACCATGTCAAATTCTTTAGGCAGTTAGTGGGGGAGGTCAAATGTCCTTCAGAGAAAACAATCAAGGTAAGGAGATATATTTTAGGATGGCCAAATCTTGATCTCCCACATTAGTATGGATTGAAGAAAATGGTCGATAAGTGCTTTGACAACAGAAATCCTGTTCAGTCTAATACTAATAATAACAACAACAGTGATAATAGTTACCTCTCTTCTGGGCTTATGTTCCAGGCACTGTTCTTAAAGAGCTTCACATTTAACTCATTTATTCCTCATAATAGGTATGTATAATAATATACTATTATTATCCCCATTTTACAGATAAGGGAACAGAGGCACGAGAAGTTAAGTGACTTTTCCAAGGTCACATAGCCAGTAAGTGCCCCAGCAAGTATTTCAGCGAGGATTCAAGATAGGACAGTGGCCTATCCAAAGGAAAACATGTTCAGGCCCACTGCCTTTGTTCCTCTAAGGACTCGGCAAGAACAGAAACAAATGATGGATGCTAAGCAAACTGTGAGGGTGTAGCCAGAGGGGCACTCATACATTTTAAATCAAAGTATAAATTGTCACAACCTCTTTGGAAGCTCGTTTAGCACTACATATCAAAAGCCTTAAAAATGAGCACAACCCCACAAAAAAAGACAAATACTGCGTGATTCCTTTCATATGAGATATCTAAAGTAGTCAAACTCTTAGTAGAATGGTGATCGCCAGGAGCTGAGGGAGGGGGGGAAAAGGCAGTTATTCAACGGATATAGAGTTTCAGTTTTGCAAGATGAAAGCCCAGAGATCTGTTGCACAGCAATGTGCATATACTTAATACCACTGTACTGTACATTTAAAAATGATTAAGATGGTAAATTTTATGTTTCGTGCTTTTTTTTACCACAATAAAAAAAAATGAGCACAACCTTTGACTCAGCAACTCCACTTCTAACTTATTTTAGCTCAATAATCAGAGATAGAACTATTCCTAACAGTAAACAACTGGAAACAACCAAAATATTGGTAATAGGGATTGATTGAATAAATGATAGGATAGCTATAATGGGATTCTGTGCAGCCATTAAAATGACATAGAAGACTATGTATTGACATAATAAAATGTTTTTAGTGTATTAAATGAAAAAGTTACAAAGATATATACAACATAATCATAATATTTGTTTTATTGTTTGAAAAATGATTATTATGTGCACATGGAAAAGAAGCTCGATGAAAACACACCAAAATGTAAATCCCGATTAGTTTAAGAGTACAGGTTATTTTTATCTTTGTGCCTTTCTGTATTTTCCAAAATTTCTACAATGAACGTTTATACTTTAGCAAGATTTATACTTTCTTCTAATTGAAAGAAGAATGTTATTTTAAAAATTTTATACAGATGTTGATTGGATTATTATTATTAATAAAAGTAACCAACCAGAGTCTATTTCAGAAATGTTGGCATAATAGTGGTATTTTACATTTGTGTCATGTTGTACAGTTTGTAAGGTTTATACAAGCTCTGGATTAGATTCCAGCTGGAGACAGGGCAGGAAACTTTGGAAGGCTTTAAAAAGCCAGCTAAAACAGACTGGATATAGGGTATGAGGGAGTGGAAAAGCCAGGCTGGAAGATTGGAAAAATGGTGGAGCCACTGATAAAAGTGAAGGTATGTCGAGTTGGCTTTCGCTTGGGAAAGGCTGAGGAAGAGGATAAGTCAGAGGTGTGTGAGTGTGTGTGTGTGTGTGAGAGAGAGAGAGAGAGAGAGAGAGAGAGAGAGAGACATGGTTAGTTTACACTTACAGGTGGCAATAGGCAAGAAGTCCAGTAAGTATGAGGTTTCAGAAATGTGCAGGTGTGGAGATACTGGTTTGGGATTCTTCATCAGGAAGGTGAAGGCTGGAGCCAGAAGAGAGTGAAAGTCGTCTCTCTGTTCTTCCTCCATGAATTTATGATCTCTCTCTCTCTCTCTCCTGATCATCAACAGACTCTTGGCCAGTCTGCAAAATTCCCTGGTTAGTTGAGTCAGAGTTTACATTAATATAACTATAGAATATTTTTACAGTTGAGGTGTATACCACACTGAGATCACACTCACTTTATTGAACAACTTTCTTTTTCTGGAGTCAAAAATTCCCTGTTTTTAAATTTACTTAGTTATCTATGCATCTATTGTTAATTTTTCCACAAACTCTCCATTGGGACTGTAAAACGTCTCTTGATCTGGTCACGTGAATTGGTGAGCTTTCAATATCTTTTTGTTTTTTTCTGGGAGACATCTTTCCTTAGGCACATCATCTTCTCACTCCAACTGTCGTCTTGGCCTCTCTGCCCAACTGTTGTCCCAGGACTTCCCATAACCACATTCTGAGGATTCCCATCTCTTCTCTCCTGTGCCAAGTCCCCTGTCTCCTGGATCTTCCTGTTCATGGTTTATTCTCTCATTTTGGAGGAGCACATTCTTCAGCAACTTCCTCAGAAGGAGTTCATGGGAGGTAAATTTTTGAAACCTTGCTTGTCTAAAAATGGCTTTATTTTACTCTCACACTTGATTGAAGGTTTGGCAGGGTACAAATTTCCAGATTGGAAATCATTTTCCTCCATAATTTTAAAGCATTGACCCATTGTCATCTAGCTTCTAATGTGGCTAGACTCTTGAGAAGTCTGATTTATTCTGATTTCTATTACTTCCTATGTAATTTTTGTTTGTTCATTTGTTTCTGGAAGCTTTTAGGATACATATTTTTCCTTCATCCTTAGTGTTGTGAACCTTCATAATGATGTGTCCTGGTAAGTCTTTTTCATTCATTGTGCTAGGCACTCAGTGGTCCCTTTCAATCAGGAATTCAATTCTTCAATTTTGGGAAACTTTCTCTGTGATAGATTCCTTTGTTTTTAAATCTTTTCTCTCTCATTTTTCATCTCTTAGTTTTATTTATTCCACTTTATAAGAGGTTTTCCTGAACTTTATCCTCTAGTTCTTCTATTGAATTTTTTCATTTCTGCTATAAAATTTTAATTTCCAAGAGTTTTTCCTGGTTTACTGACTTTCCATTTGGTAGCCTCTTTTGGGTTGTGGACTCGGGATCTTCTCTTATTTCATATTTCTGAGGATATCAATTGTAATTTTCTGCCATTTTCTTCTGCTTCCTAGGTTATCTCTGTGGTTTATTTTGGTTTCTGTCTTTCAAGCTGGAGGCTTTCCTCAGCTACCATTTATTGGGTGTCAAGCAGTAGTCCAAGCATTTTATATGTTTTAACTAATTTAATCCTTACACCAACTCAATGAGGTAGTTACCATTCTTATCCTCAATTTACCAATAAGGAAACTGAGACACAGAAGGTTAAGGCTCTCGTCCAGGTCACACATCTTGGAAGTGAACTTGAACTCAGTCAACCTTTAGCTCTCCCGTTTACATAAAATATGAGGATTGGAGAAATAAATCAAATGATACCATGAAGAAGCAATCAGCCAAATCCAGAATGTGGGACAGTGTGCAAGACAAATTACCTAGCTTTACCAACAATCAAGGGTATAAGGAATGATTTAAAAAGAAGGGCAGAGGGATCATTATGGAATAAAGACACTTAATACACGTAACAACAAAATGCAATGTGTGTGTCTTATTTGCGTCCTGATTTGAACAAACCATGTGTAGAAAGACATGTTTGACATCATTGAAAACAGGTGAACATAGATTGGATATCAAATAATACAAGAGATTATTGTCAATTTTGGTAAGTGTAGTAATGGCATGATATATGTAGGGGTGTGTGTGTGTGTGTGTGTGTGTGTGTGTGTTTAAGGAAAGTCCTTAGTAGCTAGAGATGCATTCTGAGGCACCTGCAATTTAAATGATCTAATGGCTGGAATTTGCTTTAAAATATTCCAGAAAAAAAAAAAAGATGAGAGGGAGATAGGTAAAATAAAAATGGCAGCATGTCAATAATGATTTAATCTGAAGGATGAGTATCAGGAGTTTCATGATAATACTGTTGCTCCTTTGTGTGCATTTGAAAATTTTCGTAGTAAGTTGAATAACATGCAAGAAAATAAATAAAAAATAATATGTATAAAATAAGTGAGGCAC